ATTTAAGCTGTAAAAATTGCTATCTATGAAAATTTATGTTACAATTAACATTTTTATGCATCTATAAAAGTCACAGTTTTTAAAGGAAGCCTTTAATTGTCCTACCTTCTCCTTTCCAAACACTTCATGGCACCTGTCTCTTCTGCATATCTATAATTGTATTTTGTCTATGAAGTTCTAGTATCTGGTTTTATTTTTAGCTGTAGTGCAATGTGTCAAACCAAATGCTCTCGCTGTAATCTGTTTCACCTCCATTCACCTCCTCCGAGACTGAGACACCACAGCCGATCTTGGTTCACATATCTCAGGAATTCTCATGAGGCATATATGAAAGCTCGTCCTCAGGGGTGCTCTCAATTTTCCATGGTTGTGTGTAAAATCAAGTGTGCACATTTTCTACTGAGATAGCATAGGTTATGGATCAGGTTCTCAAATGTTCTAGTGACCAAAAAGAAATCATTGACCAAGGCTCCCTTTAACATAATTTGTCTTAGATCATGATGTTTGGGGTTGAACCCAGGGCTTTCGCATTCCAGGGAAATACTCATCTCTGATCCATACCACAGCTCCATTGGGCATCTTTGTCTTGTTTCACTTCTCTGATTATTGCCTGACTCTAGGTCAACTCTGCTCCTCTAAGGCTCAAATTGCCACCCTCCTTTCCTTTCTTGCCTTCCCTTTGTTGTTGGCGTTCACACCTATGATGCCCCCTCTTAGTCTTCTATGTATACACTAAGCCAGGGTCTCGCTTACCTTATTCTGCTGAAACTTGTTTTGAAGATGGCATATGCCTGCTCATCACACCCCTCAGTCCCTGCTTATTCACTTTCATGCTTTTCTTTAGCACTTGTGATTGTTGTTGTGGTCTTGTAGCTCGCCCGCCCCCAGCTGGCCATTTGAGTTTCTATACTTCTTTGCTGTCTCTTTCCTTGCCCATGGGTGTCTTCTATGACTTCCTGTCATTGGGTCCCTTGTCTTTGTTCTTCTCTTTGTCCATCTCATCCAGATCGAGAAGCATGCAATTGCGTCTGTTTCTTGGAACTGATACTTGAATTTGTAGGTGCCATCCACTGGGACACTTAAACATACTTCCAACATATTCCAAAGAAGATTCATGTGTGCAGCCATCTTGCATTTCTCCATGGACAACACTGCTATGCTTTGCCAGGTAGGCACCAAGTCCAAGTCATACTACTCTCATTTGCTTCCAAAACCTCTTCTCTGTATCCGAGAGCCAGGCTCATTGCCTTTCTTTCCACACAGCCCCTTTACTTGCTGCCACACCGAGTCTCCCTCTTGTCACCTTCCATCAACTCTGCTGCATCTGCTTTCATCTTGTTTCATCTTCCACACTCCTCCCCTACCATCAGTTGCTTTTGATGACAGTATTTGGTAAACACCTCCAGATTCACTCCTCTGAAACACTTGGTTATTGCTTCCTGTCCTGTTCTTGGGCCACCTGAACACTCCATTATGTACACAATTACCCCTGCACTCAAACCATCTCAACTTCTGACCCAAAGATACATCTCACCACGCCCCTAAATACACCTTGCTTTTCATATTAACACAAATAAGCTTCTAGCATTTATCATTTGAATTCATGTACATAAATACTTAATTCATGGAGTGTTTCTCAAACCAAATCCCCAGGGCCATATTTATTTATGCACCTTGTTCTTTCAGCTAACACTGGCATTTTTTTCTTGAAAGTTTAGGGTTAAGTAACAGTATTTCAAGCAGCCTGGTGTGGGGAGTGTTAAAGCAGCTTTACAATGTTAGCTTGAACCAGAAGCCCCACGGAAGAAACAGAGTCTTCTCTCAGCCCTTATATGATATGCCAGATGCTGACAGTCTCTCCAGGAAACTCAGAATAGGTGACTGGGGGGTGGAGTTAATAAAGGGACAGTCCACTGTGTGGAAAATGTTATATAGAACCAATAACAAAGGGTAGGAAGGACTGTTCCTAGACCTCATCAAGTAGAGTATGAAGGGCACGGCATGTGGTAGGAATGGTGACCTGTGTATTAAAAAGGGTCACCGTTTCCAGTATGGAAAGAAGAAATCAAGAGAAACAAAGGGCCCAGAGAGGGCAAAGGGCAAAACCCAAGCATTGGACAAACCCACCATTGGACAGACCCAAGCAATAGCTAAAAGCAGGAGGACCTGGCTAGCACAAGTGCTTGGGATCAGACAGGGGTTGGGGAGCAAGTGTGTCTGTAGTATGAAGTGGAGAATACCTAGAACCTTGTGCCATCTCTGACCCCTGAATATCACCCTTCATTCTTTCTTATGCCTAAAGCTACTGGTCTTGCTCAGCAGCCATGGCTGCATCATGAGCCAACGAGAATCTTTGCCTTTGGGTGATACAGGAGTATAACTACTTTCCTCCCTTTCGTCTCTTCCCTGCCGTCTCCATGCCTGGAAGTCTTTCTCCCCTCACTTTTCAAGTCTTCTCTGCCCCCTTCCTTCCATGATACAATAAAGTTACTGGATGGAATACAAGCACCATTAGACTGAATTAAACTGATGCTACTTTTAATAACTTGCATTACACCTTAAAATTTATATTAGGTCATATTGTAAGAACTTACAACGAGGAAGAACTTTATAATGAGAAAGCTGGCTTAATTTTGGAACCAAATGCCATTGAGCAATTGATGCATTTTCTTGGAAAAACATACAGAGAAACTAGGACCTGGTGTGCTGTTGATGGCAAACACTGAGGTAGCCTCTACCCAGCTGGGGAAGGTTAATAAATTGGGAAAATAGAGGAAAACAGAGCGTGAAAGGTAACTTTCTAAAGCCAAGCAGCCACAGGCCTGTGTGCAAGTGTAGACCCTGGTAAACTGACCAGTGGAAGGTCACACATTAAGAATAACTGGGGAGCACACATTGGCTTTGATTGCGGGAAGGGGGACACAAAGCTGAATGGGAAGGGGAATGAGTTGAATTCAGGAGGAATTAAGGAAGGAGGGTAAATATGACCAAAACATGTGGCATGAATTTCTCAAAGAACTAATAAAATGACCCAGGATGTGGTATTGGAAGCCTGTGGGATAGCTGAGGCTCTACAGCATATCTCCAAGGGCAAAGCAAGCCTGTGAAGGTTGAATAAGGAGTTGTTCAAAAGCCTAGGATCTATAAAATCTAAAACAAACTGAAATCAATAGAGCTTTCCCTTGGAAACCTATGAATAGTTTTCTGACATCACTCCTTTGCCTAATATCTTTGGAAACTATTTCAGTGGCTCTCCTTGACAATTTTCTTGCTTCACTACTGCTCTGTAGATAGACCTGGATCAGCAATAAGCCCACCACACAGGAGGTGTTGTTGGGAGTGTGTGTCCACAGTTCACGTATTTGTTGCCTTCATTATATACCAGTGTGCATGCAGGGGGCAGGGGACTTCATCACTGGAGAATATTAGACTATAGAAATGACAACCTCCTGTAATCATTTCAAAGTAAATGAGCAATGTTGAGCTAGGCACAGGCTGAATTTTTGACATTAAAACAGAAAGAAGTTGTGTTAGTAGTCTGTTGCTGTGAAGAGACACCATGAATATTACAACTCCCATAAAGGTAACCATTGAACTGGGGCTGGCATATCAGAAGTTTAGTCCATTACTGTCGTGGACAGAAGCACGGGGGCATGCAGGAAGCATGGTGCTGGAGAAGTAGCTAAGAGTCCTACATCTGGATTGGCAAACAGCAGGAAGAAAGAGTAACACTGGGCCTGCCTTGCCTATCTGAAACTTCAAAGCCCATCCTCACATATACTTTTAAATAATGACACTCCCCATGAGCCTATGGGGGCCATTTTCATTTAAACTGTCACATACGTCTTTTGCTAAAGAGACACTGGCCCATCAAATGGCCATCTATCTCAATTCCCCTTTCTAGTCCTGTGACCGTCACTATCCTGGGAATACATGGATTTTGTCAATTCTATTGACCCAAACACATACAAAATTTAAACTCATTTTCCATGTTTCCCTCCTGTGGCTGATTTGGTTGAGAGAACTACAAAAACATCAGCTTCACAAGTATCGTTCTGTAAGAAGTTAGCTAAGTACTGTACAAATTTCATAATCTGTATTGCTTTTCTGTGAGCTCAGTACACCTATATTTTGTTATCTGGATGTGTTCTTTCTGAAAGTTTTATCTGCCTATGTCTCAGAACATTTTTGAATACAAAGCAAGTGAAGACAAGTTGTTCCAGGGCAGATGGACACAGTTTTTGTGTGTGCATGTGTGTTCCATGATAATCATGTAGAGGTTAGAGGCACACTTGTGTGACTCAGTTTATTCTTTCCACAGTGTGAGTCCTGGGAAGCAAAATTAAGTCATCAGTCTTGGTGGCAAGTTCCTTTACCCACTGAGTCTCCTTCATTGGTACTTAAAAGAAAATCAACCATCTTAACCAAACACACATCAGTACTGTTGAAATCCCACAACATCATAGATTACATATAGATGATCCTCAATTCACTGCTGAAACTAGATGCTCACTCTCTCTCAATCTGATTTAACTTGGCCCTCCAGTCTTTGAGATTCCATTTTCATTGCCCAAGAAAGCATTTGGATAGCTTTCCCTTGCCTCTGATCAGCTGGTGTGACATTGATGCCTGTGTTAGTGTCACATGAACACAACCAAGGCATCTGTCTTAGCTCAGTGGAATAGAACAGCGTGGCTCATTTCCTTTTCATTCTTCTGCCCAGCCATGGGGCCTGGCAATCTATGGGCTGCCTTGCACCTTATACTTCATGTAGCTACTTCAAAAAAGGGAAACACAAGGAGGGTTTTCCAAACCATCGGAGGTTGAGGATTAGGGATCATACCAGAAGGAGCAGGAATATGAATATCTCATGACTCACTCTAGCAATAGTGTTTAAAAGCTTGCCTGAGAGTTTGAAAAACTCTTGTATCTACAAGTCCCCAAACCCAATGCCATTGCTGCCTCATTCCTCAAATAAGGACAAACACAAAGCAACTTACTGTAAACTGGATTTGACAGCCACCCATTATGTAGTCCAAGAAGGAGTGCATCTTGTGGATCTGCAAGGGAGAGGGCCTAGATTAGTAATAGCATGATCTGCTTTCCCTGAAGACTGAAGACATACATTTGAATATGTATGTCCCCCATAGACTCAATTGTTTGAATGCTTGACCTATAAAAAGTGACACTATTAGGAGCTATGGCCTTGATGGAGTAGGTGTGGCCTTGTTGGAAGAAGCATGCCACTGCTGGGATTGGCCTTGAGGCTCATATGCTCAAGTTATGCCCAGTGAGGGACGCAGTTCACTTCCTCTTGCCTACAGATCAAGAAATAGAAATCTCACTCCTTCTCCAACACCATGTTCCTCTGAACACTGTCATAAAGGACTAACCTCTGAAGCTATAAGCCAGTCCCAATTAAATGTTTTCCTTTGTAAGAGTTGCTGTGTTTATGGTGTTATTTCACAGCAATAGAAACTTAACTAAGATATCTTCTAAGCCAAGGAAAAGGGCAGAAAGAGATCTGTGGGAATTCTTCAATGTTCATATGGATGGTCCCAGGACATTTGCAGATTCCTACCCCCTGTCCCCCTTTATTTGAACGTATATATTGCTTTAATTGACAACTGACTTTGGGCTGACCTAAATCATATTTTCAAGATTCATTACTATTTTAGAATAAGGGATGCTTTATATTTAGTCACTTTCCCCCACATCATTTGAGTATGTTCCTCAAGAACTTCCCTGTGCACAGAAGGGCCTGATCCATGACCTGATTTCCTGTGTTTTGGGGGCAAAACTGTTCCTGGGACAGAGAAGATAGCATTGGACTGTTACAACATTTAGGACATTCATAGTCATATTTCATTTCCTTTGTCTGGTGCTACACTGATTTTATGAATTTTGCCTTAGAGAAGGTCATTATCTTGTAAAAACAAAAACAAAACAAAACAAAAAAAACTCTTCCCACTTGATCACATGACTTGAACTTCTCTCCCAAGATAACTCCAGCATTATGCTCCTGACAGAGAGGGGACTGCATATACCTTACACTGATTCAGTATCACCATGCCTGAGTTCTTGTAGTTCTTCTTCTTGGCTTTGTACTTGGGGTTGATGCATTCCCACTGTACCTACACCAAAAAGGGTCAAACGTGAGTGCCTTCAAGAAGAAGTCAAATCTTTTAATGAAGTCAAGCTTCGGGGGACACACACATGGAACTGGATAGCTAAAAAATGGTTTCCAGGTAGTAACTCAAGCATCTAGGAGAATGGTAAGGAAGAGTGATTGACAGAGACAATGGTCTGCCTGGTTCATACCCTATGCCTTCATTTCCCAGCTATATGCCCTATGCTGGGCTGCTTGACTCCTCTGTGCCTTGAATTTCACTTCTCTATAACTGAGCTCATGATTCCTTAAGTCTCAGCCCTTCCCTTGGCTCTGATCTAAGAGGATACTCCATGAAGGACAGGATTGGAGCCTTGAGAAGGACTGAGAACTGAGTGATTAACTGGTAGCCATCTAAAACAATTTTCACTTTTTCAAGATTACAGATTTCATGAGGCAGAAGCAACTGTGAGTCAAATACCCAACTTTCATTGGACATTTCTGTTCATAATCCCAAAGGAGCTAGACTCTGAGGCTTCCACTCAGGACACAAAAGTTTATTCCTGACAATCAAAAAGCAGCTTGGGAGGCAGATGTGAGCAGGCTAGACTGATACTTCAATGGCCTCCTATAATAATACCCATGCATTAGTTATATGACTTTTTTTTTTTTTTTTGGCCAATGGGACATTAAAAATGTTGTGAGAATAGAAGCTGGAAAACACCAGTGTTATGAAACTGCCTTTTTTGCTTCTAAGTTTTATTTTGCCATTTTGTAAAAGGAAAAAAAAATATACGTTGGAGGATAAAACCACCACCACTGTTACCACCACTACCACCACCACCACCACCACCACCACCACCACCACCATAACAAGAACAAAAACACACATGGAGAGCTTCACCAGGTGTCTCTGCTGCATATGCACAAAAGCATGAGGGCTTTGTGGTATGACAAAGAGCAGAGAGGAGCTATCCTTGGTGAACCAGGCAGAAGTGTCAACCAAGAAAATGTTAAGCAATAATGGCTATTTTCAGGTAGGAAGTTAGTGGGCAATTTGTTACTCAGCAACAGATAAGAGTAGTGTCTCCCACCTGCCCCCTGGAGGCCCCAGAAGTGACTGGGCCACTTCTCTGGTGACTCTGGTGACTCTGAGACTCACACATTGTGACTCTGCTGACCACAATGACTCCCTCCAGAAGGGCTCCAAAGGGTCCTTCTATTTGGTATTGCAAAACTTTCCCTTGATCATCTCAAACTAAAGATGCTTATGAGATACTCAAGAATGAATGAAGATTAGTCAAGAAGCTGCCCTGTTCTGACCCAGGCAGGGAAAGGGAGTATGAACAATGGGGTTCCTTTTTTTCCCTCTGATGTGGTACACTGGGGTCCTCAGGTTCAAGCTCTCCTTATTTATTCACATCTTCACTCAGTTTTAATCCTTTCTCTCTGGTGGTACCTAATAACCATTTTCAGGTAGGCAGCCCTCTATGGCAGTTCCTCTAAAAGCCGATTGATTCTCCAACTTTCTTCAAAAAATTTCCCCATCTCAGGGTCATTTTATCATCCTCTTCCTCCCTCCCATTCTCTAATCTCTCAACAAATCTTACAGTTCTCATTTCCAACATATCTTAAATTTCATTACTTTTGTCTTTGTCCATTGTCATTCAGTCTGGGTCATTATCTCATCTTGTCTCACTATGGTAGTGGCTGCCTAACAGATTGACTAGGCACTTCCTCTTTTCTCAGTAAATGGTTACATACTAGCCAAAACATACATGTATGCATACGTATATGTATATGTGTATGTGTATGTGTATGTGTATGTGTATGTGTATGTGTATGTGTATGTGTATGTGTATGTGTATGTGTATATGTATATGTATATGTATATGTATATGTATATGTATATGTATATGTATATGTGTGTGCAGGACAGAGATCCACCTCAGCTGTTGGTCCTCAGGAGCAATCCACCTTGTATTTTTTTTTAGATAAGATCATTCATTGGCTTGGGGCTCGCTAGCTAAGATAGGCTGGCCAGCCAGCAAGCCTCAGCTACACTCCGGTCTTTATCTCCCTAGTGCAGAACATGACACCATGCCTGGCTTTCTAACATGGGCTCTGGGGATTAACTCAGGTCTTTATGTTAATACAGCAAGTATTCTAGCAGCTGCACTATTGCTCCAGGAGAGCTAATGCAATCCTTTAACAAATTTAAACCAGCTTGATCCTTTTGAACATCACCCAATGAAACTTTCTGCAATGATGGGGATACCCCATGTCCTCATCATCCAACATGACAGCCACCAGCTGCACAAGGCTACTAAGCACTTGAAATGTGGCTAATAATACTGATAAATGGATCTAATAACAGTCACATGTGGTTGGTGGCCATATACTGCACAGCATAGTTTGAAGGTGTTACCATAACATTTAGAAAATATTATTAGAGCCAGCTCTTCCTGGTCTCTCCTCTATCTTTGACCACTTTCCATGTAAGGTCACCTTATCCTCTCTGCACCCAATATACTGGTCCCTCCCAAGCCCCTGAGCACACCAAGCTCTTTCCTGCCTCAGGATCTCAAACTGTTCTTCTCTCTGCCTGAATTGCTTTTTCTTCACTTATTGCCAGATGGGCTTCTTCTCATCCTTAAAGGGTCTGAAGTTAAATATTAACTTCTACCTTGTAACTCAATTGGCAAATAAACTATTTTCATCTTATTTTTTCTTTAAATTTCCACTTATTTTACATATTTATTTTGATATGACTACATTGTTTGTACATGAGTATATGTATATATGCACATGTGAATGGTCCATACATGTGTGTGGAAGTCAGAGGACAGCTTTGCAGGAGTTGGTTCTCTCCCACTCTTTGGATCCCTGGGATCAAGCTCATGCCATCAGGCTTGGCAGAAAGTACCTTTACTGGAGATGCCATCTTCTCCTTCCTGTCTTTTTAAAATAACATTTGTCACAAGTTGTAATTGCCTTTTAGGTTTTTGTTTGTTTGGTTCGTGTTTAGACTCCACTTTGGCTCCCATTAGTCTGTTAGCTTCAGGAAAGCAGAGACAATGTTGGCAAGGCCGATCACTGAACACCCAGAGCCAGGCAGGCACAATAGATGTCAAATCATTGAAGAAGAGATTGTTCCCACCATATAAACGTGTCAGGGCCTTGCGGTGCAACTAAATTCTCCTGGTGTCTCACAGGTACAGAAAAGTATAGTAGTGTGCATTTCATGACTTCAGTGGATATTGCAGACTAATCTTTGTTTATCTGGGAGCATCTAGTCTTCGTGGTATTCAATCATGATGGAAGTTAAGAACCTACCTTTAATGGCCTCTTGGGAACCCAGAGATGAAATGTTTCCCCAGTCTATTGATTTGACTATTTCTGTTTATAGAGGAAAGCAAGGTACAAGTTTATGAGATACTTTAGAGTTGCAGCAGGTGGTGTCGGTAAGCTGGCATTGACTTATTAGCTCAATAGGGCCTGGCTCTGTACATTTGATGCAGCAGTAGTTTTTCTAGCTGTGTTCCTTATTATCCAGAGAGTGACTGCTTATCATCTAGTGTTGACTTTAATTGTGGCCCTTGGGAAAGTAATGCTACTTTCCCAAGATTGCAGAGGTAAAGGAAATTAGACATTTATGCATTGAACCACTCTGTTTTTCTCATAGAAAAACTTCTATTTTGGGGTGATGTATTGACAAAGTCAAATAATGGCTTTCACTAGGATTGTTCTAGAATCAAATCCTATACCTTCCCTTCCCATCATACTCAATCATATATGGTATATTTGCCTTTAGCATTTCCGTTTCTATCTGAAGATGCATCCTAGTGAGTGTCTGAGGTACCACCACCTACCTGTTTCCCTTCCATAGCTCCTCTCATCTCCTTGAAGGTGGAGGTGAATTCTCCAATAAAGTCATGCTTGCCGTTGGAGTCCCAGTCCCACACTATGCACTGCAAGACAAGAGGATGATTGTTTTCCCCCAAGGTTTTTAATCACAGAAGCTACAGGCAGTATGAACTTTATAAGGAAGAGCATATGACAGGTGTTTGGTCTATAACAAAAGCTGGATGTAATATCCCTTTGGTTTCTATAGCTTTTTTACTTGCCTTTATTAGCCACAACCTCCCAAACACCTTTGTGATATGTCAGTCATTGCCATAACGTATCACTGTTTTCAGAAGAAGCCACCGAGAGCTAGAGGAGGAAAGCCTGACTGGCTAGATGGGCCGTCCAGTGAATGACAGCCTGAGTCTTGAAAGCATGTGTCCTGCTTCTGATTCTGCTGCCTTTTCTCCCCAGTTCTGATTTTTATTTTGTTTTTAAACCATCACAGATAGTCTCTGGTTTATAGCTGGAGAAGTTATCTGAGTTCATGAATTTGTAGCTTTCAGAACAGTAGCCTATTAGTGATTTTAATGGAATTATATTATTCTTTTTTTTTCTATTTTCCTGATGATAAAAGTAAATGCCAACAAAAGCAAATGAAAAGGTTAAGAATCGAAAGGTTTCATGGTACCTTCAAGAGAAATGGATGGATGACAGTGACCAATAAACCACCCTGGTAAATATCACACATCCATCACCCAGCTGTGGCTGTTCCTATCTAACAAGAGAAATCTGTGTACTACTATTATGGCTAGATTCTAGGTATTCTATCAATATTTCCTACAGTGACTAGATTAAATCTACAACAAGCTCTCTGATTGGCTACTTAACTAGGTAAAGAGGGAAGTCCTGATTTTTTTTTTTTTTTCCCTCTACAGGTAAGGTTAGTTTTTAGAAACAAGGACCTATTTACATTTTAAGCCAATTGCATACTACAAAGAATCTTAAACCTTAAATTTTGTCAAGAGGGCTTTTTACTCAGAGGTGCCCTATAAAACACAGTGCTCCCCAAACTATCCCCATCTTCCCTCAGGCTTCAGATAGCCTAATCTCCAGTCTGAGTGGGAAACCCAATGCAGACCTCTTCCTAGACCATGTACATAGAAATATACACCACCCCCCAGATACATTCTTATACATTTTCTTTTTGTTACAACAGATTGCAACTACATCCATGTAGTTACTACAAACTGAAAATGGGCACCATTCCCTGTATTTGTCTTTACCCTCACTAGTCATGCTCTGGTCCTCTCCATGTTGTCTGCTACATGTTGCTTGACTCCATTCCTTCTCTTCTCTGTATACTTCTTAATCTATTACTACAATAGCCACCCAGGAGGCCTCCTGGCCTCCCCTGTATCTATCTATCCTCACGATCTATTAATTATGTTAATTACCCAATTTGAATAAAAAAGAGTATCAGGTAGTAGGTTTTCCAAGATCTTCCATGATCTTATTACCATCAGTATCTTCAACTTTCCTATAACCCATGCTTGCAATATTTTAAAAAACAATTTGTAAATTAAAAAGTGAGGTGGGTGGGAATGTAAAACACTGGTGTTGCTGTCTTTAATTTTTCTGTTTGACATATCTTGAAAAAAACTAATTTCTATGTTTCTCTTTCCTTAAGCATGGAGGATTTGTTTGATAATTCTCTTGCTTAGAAAACATTAATAATAATTTCTGTGAAGAAAGAATGCATCAGCACAGATCAGAATGGAAGAGGTGAGGACAAAGGGAACTAAATTGCTTTGCTGAAACAGTAAGGACAATCTTAATTTTTCTTTGATAACTAGAGATTCAGGGGTGAGGACTGAAAATAACTGAGTCATCTTCATCAGAAGATTGAAGACAGGCTGCTCAGATGTGTTCAGAGACCATGCACTGAAGACCCATGTCTGGTCTCCATCCTGTGTCACCATGGGAACATGGTGGCGCTTTCAGGAGATTAGTCAGAGAAGAAAGTTAGGTGACTGGGGTGCCCTAGAAGTAGGTATTAGGACCTGCAATAGTTATTTTTTTGTTGCTCTGATAAAACATTATGGCCCAAAGTGAGTTATGGAAGAGTTTATTTTAGTTTATAGTTCTAGAGGGGGAAGTCTATAATGGTGGGAAGACGTGACAGCAGATGGGCATGGTTGTTGGAGCAGGAAGCAGAAAGATCACATTTCTCTGTCCCATTGGGTTTGGGAGTGTTCATAGCTCCTGCCCTGGGTAGTGAAGTGCAAGGAAAATCCCTGAGCATCTTCAGAAGGAAGCATGGAAGACCAGAGTGTGTTTTCATGTTTCATCTCTGTCTGTGCCTTGGTGGTCAACACCTTGGTAGCTGTCACGTTGACCTGATACCTCACTGAGGATTTCTCAGCCCAGCTCCCTGCTCATGCATGGTAGTGGCCCTTGGTGAGCAATACCATGGTAGCTGTTGTGTTTATCTGAGACCCTCCCTCACCGAGGGTTTCTCAGCCCAGCTCCCTGATGACGAATGGTAGACATATATGCAGGAAACAGATCTCTGTTGTTCTTGGCCTCTGAGATTAGTGTACAGTTTGCTAAGAACCACTTAGAGGATGGCCATAGGAAAAGATCTCATAACTGATTGTGACTCCAAAAGTAGGAAAAACAGATTTTGAAAAGAAGGAAACAAACAAATGCTTACTAATAATTAAATTGGCTCAAAACCTAAATAATAAATGTCTGTTTCATTGCTAGGGATGTCCAAGCAGAAGTGTGTGTGTGTGTGTGTGTTCCACATATAGGACCCATTGGAGAAAACCTAAGGGGGAAGCAATGAGGGACTTTGGGGATGTCTTTGAGATGTCATCTAACTTGAGCATGGCAAGGTTAGTTCTTGTTGCAGGGTGCAAAATGAAGTCAAAGGAAGGCTTTACCCATTTTTGGTTGAAATGCTAAGTGTGCTGAACAGTTTATGTCATGTGACTGGCCTGTAGTCATTTTCTTGATTAATGATTGATGTGGGAGGGTCCAGCCTACTATGGATTGTGTCACTCTTGGGCAGGTGGCCATGGCTTGTATAGAAAGCCAGGCTGTGAGCCATAGGGAGCAAGTCGGTAAGCAGCATTCATCCATAGCCTCTGCTTCAGATCCTGCTTGACAGTGGACTTACTCAGTTTCCTTCCTGAATAGTCATTCAAGACATGTAAGCCAAACAAACCCTTTTCTTCCCTATTTGCTTTTGGTCATGGTGTTTATCACAGCAAACTAGGACATTAAGCAATTCAGTGTAGCTTTGGGAAGAGTTGTGAGAATCACTTTTTAATTCTTCCAATAGACAGCAGCAAATGACTCAATCATTTGCAAAAAGGGCTTATGATAAGGATTGGGATCATGCCATTGCATAATGGTGTGGACTCATCTGTTATAATAATATTAATGACCTCTCTGTCACCTTCATCCCCCTCCCTTTGTTTGTCTATCTTTGCCAGTCCCTCCTAAGTGACAATCACTTATTTCATGGAGCAAGAAGCAGGAGAAAGCTTGCTGGGTCTTCACATAAAAGAAAAGAGGCTTCTGGGATTCTAACAACTGATGCCTTAATCTGACCCTCAGAGACTTACTCTCTGCCTTTGGGAGGGGCTCATTAACAAGCACAGATGACAGACAGGAGCAAACAAGATAAGGGAAATGTAGGAACCTTTTAAGAATTTCCTTGCATGGGCAAAGAGAACTGGTGCCCCTTCTTTAGTGGAAGTGACACAAGCTTGTGACTTTGATTTCCCATCATGCTTGGGTTAATTTTCTCTCCTTTTCCTGCCAATCACAGAATCCCAGATGTTTGAAAAGTGTTCTCTATCTGGTGAAGAGAGAACCACTGAACCCTCCGAGGAAAGATAAGTGAAGTTTGAGAGACTTCCTGTCAGGGTCTCTGGGAGCAGGCACACAGCCTGCTCTTTCCCTCCCTCCCTCCCTCCCTCCCTCCCTCCCTCCCTCCCTCCCTCCCTCCCTCCCTCCCTCCCTCCCTCCCTCCCTCCCTCTCTCCCTTCCTTTCTTCCTTCCTCCCTCTCTTCTCCTTCTCTCTCTTTTTCCTTCCCCCCTTTCTTTGCCCATGCATGTGCATGCGTGTGTGCCTGTGTGTGTATGTGTGTGTGTGTGTATGTGTTTTATGTTTTGAGACAAAATTTCATTATGTAGTCCTGGTTGTAGAGCAGACTCTCTCTGTAGACCAGGCTGGCTACAAACTCACAGAGCCTGTCTCTGCCTCCCAAGTGCTGCTGGAATTACAGGCATGCACCATCACTGCCTGGCTTGGCCCTGCTCTTTAAGGTAGCAAGTTTCTCCTAATGTAGCAGTTATGAAATTTTGTTTTGAACATGGTCAGAAGGTGTCCCAAAGGAAGGGAGACACTGAGGCAGATAGATTAAAGAAAAAAAGCCTGTTGTCAAAAGCCCTTCCTGCCACTGAACTCTGATGCAGCTGAGAAGGAAATGCAACTTGGTGAAAGCAAACAGATCAACCCCCCTCAGAAAAAACTGAGACAGAGATGAGATGCCTTGGTGTGATTCAATGAGGCAGCCTTGACACATCTTGGAGAGCTCGGCCTTGCAAAGTTATCTGCAACCTGGAATGTTCTCACAGCAAAGGAGCTGGGTTAGAATCTGAAAACACATAAGCTTGGCAGATAGTCTGATCAATATTCTTTTTATAGACAAAGAAATTGATGATTGCATTAGTTCCTTTTCCTTTAGCTGTGATAAAATACTCAGAGAAAAGCAACTTAAAGGAGAAAAGGTTGCTTCTGGCTCACATTTCATGAATATAGTCCAATGTTGTGGTGAAGTCCTGGGGGAGGAACTTGAAGTAGCTAGTCACACCAAATCCATGGTCAGGAAATACAGAGCAGAGGATGCATGCTGCTTGGGCACTTTTCTTCACTTGTACAGATTAGGACCCCAGCCAAGGATAGTATAAGTGAGCCTTCCCATCCGAGTTAACACAATCATAACACCCTACAAGCATGCCAAGAAGACTATTTTTTCAAGTGAATCTAGCTTTTTGTCAAGTTGCAATGGTCTAGACATGGCTTCTACAACTACAAATCAATTCAGTG